CATTAAAATAGCCTTTTGCTTCAAAGATTGGTAGTAAACTGCCAACTGAGAGACGATAGGGAATTGGTTCTCAGCTTTTGTTCGGAGTTCAGTTTTGCCTCCAGGGCAATACTCATGTCATTTAAGGTTAGGCACTGTTCGATTGAGGTCATCCAATTTTTTATTTCACTGGGGCTAAAAACTCTATGAGGTCTGTAGCATCATGGTGTTGAGGCGTGCTGGGCGGACTATGTATTAGACATACGGCGTATGTATTAGACATGTTTTCTATCAAATGTTTTTTATTATAGTTTGTTATTCATAAAATCCCAACTCAACAGAAATTGTCCAATGGCTTATGTTATCTATAGGTCAAAATTTTGATTAAAACTACTTTTACGGATTTTATCGCGTTTATTTTACTATTATTTTTAATTCCCGACGTTTCGGGCGCTTTCCAGCACCCATGGTCACGGGGGACTAAGATGACTGACATCCCGATGTCATTGTTAAACCCGGAGTACCTTCAGCTTTTTTTTAATTATTGTTTATGGTCCGATCTATGCAAAATAAACTGACTATGTCCTGAGGTCTTGCAGTGGTATGCTTGGGTTTAGTTTTAATTTTATTGATTATAGGATCCCAAGCAGGTGGTAGTACCCAGCCTCCTTCTCTATTGAAATTAGGATGTTTTTTAATTTCAATAGCCTCACGTATCATCCTTGGTAAGAATCGCGAGGATTTGTGGTCTATCAAATCTGATGTAATGGTTATGCCGTCTAGGATATGATCGCAAACTGCAGACTTTCCGGAACGTTGATGATTCTCCGCGCAGATAAAGGCAATGCTACGGTTATAATGGATACGTCAGATTACAATTTTAAAATACAACAACTTTTGTCGGATGAAACTACATACCGAAAGGTCAAAACAGACCCTACTAATACGCTTAAAACAACTAGCGATCTAATTAAGAAATACTCCGAGAAATTGAATCTGGACGTTAATTCGATAATACCTTCATGTGCCAAACCACCGAATTTGTATGGGTTGCCAAAAATATACAAACCGAACGCTCCATTACGTCCAATAGCGAGTCAGATAGACTTGCCAACTTACAGATTGGCTCAATACTTAGCTAAAATATTATCACCACTCAGAGGACACACAGGAACACACACTAAGGATTCTTACCATTTTGCCAGTGAGATAAAAGACCTACGCCTTACTGACAATGAAACCATGGTCAGTTTTGATGTTCAGTCTCTATTTACATGCCTACCTGTTGAAGACTGCATCTCAATTATAACTAGGAAACTAGAAGAAAATAATATGCCAGCAGAATACGCAGTATTACTCAGACATTGCCCTACATCTGGCTATCTATTGTGGAAGGAAGAGTTTTACAAGCAAGTAGATGGTGTTGCGATGGCCTCACCTGTATCTCCCATTGTCGCCGATACATTCATGGAAGACTTTGAGGAGAAAACCCTCCTTACTGCACCTGTTGCACTAAGGATCTACAAGCGGTACGTAGACGATACTTTCACAATTTTACCATCAGACAAAGTAACTGCATTTTTAGAACATCTTAATTTCATAAACTCTAAAATTCAATTTACTATGGAGTTAGAGGCAAATAATTCCTTACCTTTCCTAGATGTGTTAGTCATCCGAAATCCTAACAACACCATTGGTCACACTGTGTATAGGAAAAAGACCCATACAAACCGATATTTAAACGGTGAATCTCACCACCATCCTTCACAGTTAGCTACCGTGGGCAAATCTTTGTTATAGAGAGCACGAGGGATCTGTGACAGCAAACACCTGGCCGCCGAGCTTGAGCACGTCAAGCAAGTTCTGCACGACAACAAGCTTCGGGTCCCGCGCCTACGTCACAGTGACCGAGTGAAGCCGGCCACAGTCGAGCGTGTCCCTGCTGTACTACCATATGTCAGAGGTGTCACAGACAAGATTGGCTACATCTTGAAGCGAGCTTCTATTAGAACATTCTACAAGCCGCCGAAGATGATTAGTCAGTTCTTACCATCAGTCAAGTGTCATATTCCTCTACAAGATGCAGGAGTGTACAAGCTTGATTGTGAATGTGGTCTCTCTTATATAGGACAAACAAAAAGATCAATTAGAACCCGCGTAAAAATACATATAGCTGATGTGAAGCTTCAACGTTCCGGGAAGTCTGCAGTTTGCGATCATATCCTAGACGGCCCCAACCATTACATCAGATTTGATAGACCACAAATCCTGGCGAAAGAACACCGATTCCTACCAAGGATGATACGTGAGGCTATTGAAAATAAAAAACATCCTAATTTCAATAGAGAAGGAGGCTGGGTACTACCACCTGCTTGGGATCCTATAATCAATAAAATTAAAACTAAATCCAAGCATACCTGCAAGACCTCAGGACATAGTCAGTTCATTTTGCATAGATCGGACCATAAACAATAATTAAAAAAAGCTGAAGGTACTCCGGGTTCAACAATGACATCGGGACGTCAGTCATCTCAGTCCCCCGTGACCATGGGTGCTGGAAAGCGCCCGAAACGTCTGGAATTAAAAATAATAATAAAATAAACGCGATAAAATCCGTAAAAGTAGTTTTAATTAATGTGTAGTGTCCGCGTAAATATAAGAGGACACAATTTTATTGAAAATATTTAAACACTTGTATTGCTGCTAGGCACTACTGCTCGATTCGAGCTCTGTAAGCGGATTTTTTTAATAGTTGACTGTATATAGTCTATAATTTATCATAATCCTTGTTTTGGAAGTGTTTCACGACAATAGTTGAGTGGTGGCTATAGTTCGTAGTTTTAACTATTAATCTGATTTCGTTTTATTTCACAACATGTTTTTACATAATTAATAGAATTTGCTTAGATCCGCACAATACAATAAAATTATGTGTCTTACGTAATTTGAAGAGCATCTCCCGCCCTCCTTCAATTGCGTGCAGTGCTCTCAATATATATTGTGATGATATAAAAAAGTGGCAATTCACTTGATAATTGAGATGGGACTTGTTTCCCAAATTGATTGGAGGGTAGGAACTGGGGACGAAAGGCGGAGGGCCAAGTTCGCGACGAGTGGTGACAGAATTACCCCTACACTAGGATTTTCTCCTGTATCGTGGGGGCAGTTTACAAACATAAATTGCACAAGGACAAACATCCAGACTCGGAACAGTTATTTATAGCCCGTACAAATACTTGTTCCGTGCGGGATTCAAACCCGCGACCCCCAGCGCAGCCACTCATTGCTAAGCCACTGCGCCAAGGAGTCGTCGGAATAAAGAATAGTACTAAGTAGCGGTAATTCTTGTCAGACATTTGAAGTATAGGTTTGCTCAAATATATTAAAATTGTGTATCAGTGAACCTTATGTATTTTAAATAGAAGCTTATATTCGAGGAACGTTAATTTTAGAAGTGCGATGGAGTGAGTGTTTAATAGTGTACGTTGTTTGATAATCTGAGTAATTCTGGAACAGTATTCTTATATAGATCCTAGATTATCCTAGATGAGTGGAAATACCCATTAAGGTAATTGTGATAATAACGCCTTCCTACATCTCTGATATAAAGTGTTATCAGTACAATTGTTTTGTCTTAAAAGATGAAGACAATAAAATATGATACTATATCCTTATTCGAAACGGATCGTCGTCGACAAGTATAGCCTATTACTTAGAGCGGCAATACATGTTGTTCCTGGTTCGAGTCCCAAGTAGAAATATTTAGTTTTCTTATTATTTTTCCCTTTTTATTTTTATATTTTTTATTGTTTTTCCCTTTTCCTTTTATTATTCGTATAATTTTATGATGAATTTTATGCTCTTATTTACAAATAAAGGAACTAATAGTAAAATTTTATGTTTCGTTGCTTGTAATTTTATTTTTCAGTTAATGTGTAGATTAGATTTAGCTAAATATTAAGTGCTTACCTAATTCACTGTTAAGATTATCGTAGACTATGCTTAAGAATTATCTAGTTGTTTGCTTTGTGTTGCCTTACATGTTGCTTATAAATATCTTACACATTTACACATTTGTTTCTTGTCTTACCCGGAACCCGACCCCCATGGCTTAAGCATATCATGACAATAGTAAAGTAAAGTAAAGTGAAGTTCAGCCTATATACGTCCCTCTGCTGGGAACAGGCCTCCCCTCATTTCTGAGAGGGTTTTAGGGCAAGGAAGTGTCCGCCTCGCTGCCCCAATGCGTATTGGCGAACTTCACATGTCTTCGAAATATTTTTTTTCTTTTATCCCTCAGACATGCAGGTTTCCTCACGATGTTTTCCTTCACTGACGAGCACGTGGTAAATCTGCACTTAAAATCGCAATTAAAAATTTCATTGGTCCCGTTGGAGATCGAACCCGGTTTACTCGCGTTCTGTTATATTTACAGCGACCGCTAACCATCTGAGCTACCACGGCTCTCACCATGACGATATATATATAACGTTGTAGGGCCTCGTTATGCAGGCTATTGCATGACGAGGCAGCAGATATATTTGTCAGACTGATTATATACGAGCAGTCGCACTACTACAACCACTAGACCAACGAGGCAGATAATATAATAACAATACACTTTGTGGCACTACCAAACTATTCTATCTCACATGGTGCATTCTTCTCCCATTTTTTTAAATATATGGGATAGTGTGACAAACGAGTACACAGTCCACCTGATGGTGATTGCTGTGGCCCATAGACATCTACGTATATCCTCGACTACAAATTAAAATGCAGATGCGTTATCACCCGTGAGGACTAAGATGGAATGCCTCGTTTCCAGTAAAAAGGGTCTCCGGCTCTCTACACTCACCATACGAAACGCAGCAGCATTAAGTTACTATTTTACGCTGGTATTCTGAGAGCGCGTGGTTCTTCCCCAGTCGAGTCAACCCATTCATACTACAACTATACTACTAATATAACTGCAGCATGGCTCTACCACGTATATTTTAATTCTGCATCATCGTTGCAGGATGGCGCCGTTCTCTCTAAAGGTCGACGGATCCTCACCGCAATGCACCACGCCGTCTGAAAGAAACGCTCATCAAATGGTCTCTGTGAAAGTTGGCTGTCTACACATCAACCCCAGTTCAAAGTAAGAATTTTCATAGTCTCTTTAACATACAAAAGCTCAATAACTTTACAAAAGATCAGTAACTTTATTGTACTACTTGTCAGAGTAGGCACCATCATTTTGCCTAATTCTGACAGGCTGGGTATAAAGAGTGATTATAGTTAGAGGCTGTGAAGCATTAAAATGAAATGAATGATTTTTATTCAATATAGATTATTGTATAATACTTATTGAAAGTCTTTTTTTTAATTCCCACTGGTTTGAAAAAAAACCTCTGTCCTGGGAAGAACCAGCCAGAAACCCAGTGGGACTTTTTAAACATATTTCAATTTACAATAAATTTATTTTGTACAATTTTTGAATGAATTTTTATAGAACTAGCATGGTGTCGATCACCTCATTCCCAGGGGTGATTTTCATTTATGTATTCTTTTATATTATAATAACTCTTTACAATTTTTTCTTAATAAAACATTTAAACTTATTTAATGACAAATTTTGACATTGCCCCATAAATAAATTACTAATTATGTAGAGTCTAGTAACTGGTATTACAAGCTTATGCTTGTTCCTAGTATTTAAAGTATGAACATCCTTATTCTTATGGAAGGTATTTATGTTTTTATGAACATACATTACATTTTCACAAATATATTGCGATTCCAAAGTTTATATGTTTATTTCTTAAAATTTTTCTCTAAGAGTCTGTTCACGATTTAAGTTACAAATCGCCCGTACGGCTCTCTTTTGCAAAACAAATATGGCAACGCATATGTAGCCTTTTTCATTTTAAGTTTGATGTGTTTATGGATTGCAATAGGCTCTTACGATCGGATGAGCTGCAAGTTCACTCGTTATTTGATTGCAAAAGACCCGCGAGAAAGAACAAATAACCTTCATTTAGAGAACATGTTTAAAATCACCACCGACATGAAAAAATCAGGTTTAATAGACCGCAAATTCTCTCAAAACAACTAATAACTACGAAGGTTGATTCGTGAGACTACTGAAATTATAGAACATGTGTGGAATTATCTGAATATGTAATCACCTTGTTGGAATCCCACGGTAAAATTTATCATTTAAACTTAGGATTGCCCAATCTTTATCTCTTCCTATTCTTGACTGTGCTGACATTGATTGCCTTGATATCACCGAGGGATTCTTAACCAACTTGAGTGGCTACAAAATATCTGTATGCAGATCATATTTGAACTTCGTAAATATTACCATGTCTCAGAATATCGCACTAAGCCCAAGTAGCTCCCAATCCGTCTGCGTCGAAATACTCTTATTTTTATTCTTTCCTCTCACTACTGCGTCTTAAAAATTTTGCCTCCAGTATTCTGTAAACTCCTCTACATGTTATTACACAAAATGATGCCTCAGTTAATAAACAAAACAATGTCTCAGTGATTTGCTCTTTAATTATTTGCACGTTTTTAGTTCCCTTTTTAATTTTTATACTTTCAGTAATATTCATAGCTTATGATTTATTCTATAAGAATTAACTATGTAAGAATAATATTAAGGAAAGCAACAATATCCCTTACAGTTTCCTAACAATTTAACTACCCCGCCATAAAGTCTGTCAAATATTTCACTTCACTAAGTGGCGCCACGCAGTTAGCTTTCTTTTATTAAATTAAAGCATTTTAATCACGTCAAAATATCATTTTAGGATTAATTAAAAAATAAGAAAAATATAAAATAGTAAGTAATTGACCAGTAATAATATAAGGGTCTTCAACAGGACGAGCTCCAATTCAAGTTAATAAAATAATAATAGATACTATAGATCAAAATAATATTTGATTAATAGGGTAAAATTGAATTCCTTGAATTTTTTTATTAAAGGTTAAAGGAAGAATAATTAAAATTAAAATAGATATAACTAAAGCAATAACTCCTCCTAATTTATTAGGGATAGATCGTAAAATTGCATAAGCAAATAAAAAATATCATTCAGGTTGAATATGAATTGGAGTTACTAAAGGATTAGCGGGAATAAAGTTATCAGGATCTCCTAAAAGATAAGGATTAGTTAATGTTAATATAATCAATAATGTTAATAGAATAATAAATCCAATTAGGTCTTTAAAAGTAAAAAATGGATGAAAAGGAATTTTGTCTAAATTTCTATTAATTCCTAAAGGATTATTAGAACCCGTTTGATGTAAAAATAGTAGGTGAATTATAGTTAATATTAAAATAATAAATGGAAATAAGAAATGGAATGAATAAAAACGAGTTAAAGTGGCATTATCAACAGCAAATCCCCCTCAAATTCAATTTACTAGTATTGTTCCTAAATAAGGAATAGCAGATAAAAGATTAGTAATAACTGTAGCTCCTCAAAATGATATTTGTCCTCAAGGTAAAACATATCCTATAAATGCTGTAGCTATTAAAATAAATAAAATAATGACTCCTACTATTCAAGTATATTTTAGATTAAATGATTCATAATAAATTCCTCGTCCAATATGTAAATAAATACAAATAAAAAAAAATGAGGCTCCATTAGCATGTAAAGTTCGAATTAATCATCCATAATTAACATTTCGGCAAATATAGTTTACTCTATAAAAAGCTAATTCAATATTAGCAGTATAATATATAGTTAAAAATAATCCAGTTAAAATTTGAATGATTAAGCATAATGCTAATAATGATCCAAAATTTCATCACAATGAAATATTAGATGGAGAAGGTAAATCAATTAATGATCCATTAATAATTTTAAATAATGGATGAGTTTTTCGTAAAGGTAAAAAATTTGTTTATCATTAGTAGTATTTAATGATTAATTTGATAGACGTAAAGGTCCAAAAAAGATATTTGTAATATTAACTACTGCTACTAAAGTAATAAATAAATAAATAATTAATATTATTATTATTAAGTGAGTATAATTATTATATAATTTAGATAAATTGATTTTATTTTCATTATTAAAAAAAATAAATAAATTTTTGAAATTAATTATTTCATAATTGTTAATAAAATTTAGTCAATTTATATTATATATAAATATATAACTTAATAATATTGATAATGAAAAAATGAAAATTAAAGTTATTTTTCTAAAAAAACTATTATAAAATATTTCATTAGAGGCAATTCTTGATACATAAATAAATAATACTAATAATCCTCCTAAAAATACTAAAAATAAAATATATGAAAATCAATATGTATTAATTAATATTCCAGATAATAAACAAATTAATAAAGTTTGAATTAAAATTAATAATCCTATAGATAAAGGATGATTAAAAAAAAATATTATAATAGAGAATATTATAATTAATAAAGATAAAAATATTTTTAAGATTTCAAAGAATAGTTTATGAAAAATAATAATTTTGGAGATTATTGATAAAGAATTTCTTTTTCTTTGAAGTTTTTAAAGTAATATACTTATTTTTGATTTACAAGACCAATGTTTTAATTTTAAACTATAAAAACAAATGATAATTTTAAATATATGATTTATTGTTTTTGTTATATTTATTTGTGGAAATATAATTTTTGTTTCAAAACATAAACATTTGTTGATTGTTTTATTAAGATTAGAATTTATTGTATTAAGAGTATTTTTTTTAATAATAATTTATTTAAATTATATTGAATATGAAATATATATATTAATAATTTTTTTATTATTTACTGTTTGTGAGGGGGCCCTTGGCCTCCAATTCACATTTATGTTTCGATGGGCTATATTTTTTTTAGAAAAGGCTGACAAACGAGCACACAGTTCACCTGATGATAAATGGATACTGTAGACCATAGATATCTACATTTATACCCAATTAAGAATTCAAATGCCATCTGCATGTGCGTTGATAGAAGATGCCCTGATGACTAAGATGGAACACCTCGTTTCCAGTAATGTTTCCGGTTCTCTACACTCACCATACGAAACACAGCAGCATTAAGGTGCCATTTTACATTAGTATTGCCGTGTAGTGGCGGTTGAGAATATCCACTACCCCATATCTTCCCGTGGGTGTCGTAAGAGGCGACAGAGGGAGACAGGCAGGAGATGGGCAGCAGCATCTTCCTGATAACAGCAATGATATAATAAAAACTGCGGTTGCCAACCCGCTAGCCAAGCGTGGCAGCTATGGAAAATATCCCCCGGCGGCCCCGCTATTCCTGGCTACGGTGGCGACCATGGTAACGACGGGGCAGGGGGTGCTAAGAATCTCCGGTGGAGGTTCGGTTGCCACCTACGACGACTTGACCCAGCAACATATAACGCACTCACCCTGAGGACTGACGAGAAGATATTGGAGCTGGAAGAAGAGGTAGACAAGTTGCGCTGGCATATTATTGGATTATCCGAGGTCCGAAGACATGGGGAGGACACGGTAATCCTTGAGTTCGGCATTTTGTTCTATCACCGGGAGGGCGACCATCTGTCCCAAGGAGGTATCGGCTTTATCGTCTGCAAGTCTCTCATCAATAACGTTGTAAAGATTGGGAGTGTGTAGACGAGGGTCGCGTACCTGATACTCAGAATCACCAAACGGTATTCACTGAAGGTCACACAGGTTTACGCACCAACCTCGGCACATCTCGATGAGGAGGTGGAGGAAATGTATGAGGATATTTCAAGAGCCATGCATTCCTCCAAAACCCACTACACGGTGTTGATGGGAGACTTCAACGTAAAACTAGGCACAAGAGAAGGCGGTGAACTGAAGTTAGGGAAATTTGGAGTAGGGCAACGAAACGGTAGGGGCCAGCAGCTAGGCGACTTTATGGAGAACGAAGGACTCTTTATGATGAACTCTTTCTTCCAGAAGCGGCCCCACAGGAAGTAGATCTGGTCGAGCCCCGACGGTTCGATAAAAAATGAGATTGACTTCATTATGACGACCACACGCCAACTGTTCAGTGATGTCTCAGTGATCGCAAGGGTGAAAACTGGCAGCGATCACCGAATGGTTAGAGGCACACTGAACCTAAACGTTAAGTTGGAGAGGTCTCGTCTAATAAAGTCAACGCTC